GGTTGTAAACATGTTACGCAACCATTGCGTCGCTGCCGGAGAACGAAAGTGGGAAGCAAGCAACGGCCACAACGGGCAGTCAGTCGAGTTCGGGACGGGTTATCATGTAGTACGTTTAGTATTAGACTTAGTAGTAAGAAGTTAAGTGTTAATAAAACCTAAGTTAATTCCTAACCTGTCTGTGTTTCCTTTTGGGCGGCTGGCCCAATTAATTTTTTTGACTTATACGGACTTAACGTCCGTAACTGGCGCTCGAGCAAGGACCCAGTCGTGTGTAAAAAGTGGACAAGTTATCAAAATAAAAGTGTAAACTTTCAAAGGACAATAACAATTTTAAAAGAATAAAACTTATACAAAAAAATAAACGTGTAAACCTTCAAAGGACAATTAAACAATTTAAAGAATAAATTAATCAAGGGATCAGGCTGACTACCGAATGCCAATTCTCCGTCTATTGTAAGTATACTACCACGAATTTATCTTTTTGCTATTTCACAGATGGAGTCCTTGCGAATGACCGTAGCAAATTTAACTGGTGCTGTCAATGCTCTTGTAGGAGAAATTTACAAACTAGAAAGGCGCATGGCACACATAGACGCGGCTCACTGTAGGCCTGTAACACTAGGAGCTGACGCCTTAGTCGAACCAGCAGATGGGGTGGTGACTCACACCCCCACTACTGAAGCGGAATTGAGGGACATTTCTGCAGTCCCTTATTTTATGAAGGACCTGAAAGAGACCGTTACTAACTTGTCAGGTGCTTTCAAGGCAATACTGGGAAAGATGGATTCGCTCGAAACACGATTCACGCACATGAACTCCATCAGCGCGGATGCGACAGCAGCCTCGATTGACGTGGAGTCGACTGCGCGGGCGAGGAGTGTCCAATATGTTCATGCCCTGAACCTACCGGTTTGACGGTATATCAAATAGGCAGCAAGTGTAGGATAGTGTTTTTGATGAGGAATTTTTCAAATTGAAACCGCGTGTTTCAAGAACATCATAAATTCAAGGACGATCACTGAAACTAGCCATTCCCGACTCTAACGTGACATAACGTAGCCTTCGACAAACCAATCCCTATACTACGACAGACTTGATATCCTGTGCTAGTGACTGGGAACAGTTTAAAGGTGACAGTGCCAAAGTGGAAACGAAAAAGTGAAAATTGAAAATGAAAAAATAATAAGAACTAAATTAAGGTGCATTTAAATTGAGGCATGTACATCCGCATAAAAAATATTTGAAAACCCGTGGGGTATTGAGGCCCTCAGGTTTATAACATAAGCTTAGCTCTGCGATCCCCACGGGGCACTTCAGGGTATAAAAGCTCCTCTTCCTAGAAGAGGTGAAATGATTGAAAACAATTAAGTGCAAAGGCTGACACAGCCAAGGAGGAAACTTAAATTAAAACTGCCGAGGCTCGTGACCCCGAAAGAACCTCGGGCTTAGGTTATAAATTATTACGTCCACACCCTGCTGGTCCTTAATGACAGTAACGGGTATAAAATTGTTGAAAGTAGTCCTGTGACCCCGAAGACCCTCAGGCAACTAAATAAATTAAAAATACATAAATTAATAATTATGATGACGCCGCTGGTACTTCACCTACTATTCTCACGTGAATATACCGACCGGACTTCATCAACTCATAACTCTAATCTCAAGAGAAAAGTTAACCGATTATAAAACAAAATATCAAAGGTGAATAGGGAAAAGCAATATCGAATGGTGATTGACTACAAGAGGTTAATCACAGTGACAATAGCAGACACGTATCTTAACCCTGACATAAACGCGACGCTTTGTAACCTCGGACAGGCTAATTATTATACTACGATAGACTTGACGTCTGGTTTTCACCAAATACCAGTGAAAGACTCAGACATACCTAAAACCGCTTTTTCAACTATGAACGGAAAATACGAGTTCCTACGTCTACCCTTTGGACTGAAAAACGCGCCCGCTATTTTCCAAAGAATGATTAACGATGTATTGAAAAAATGCATTGGAAAAATATGCTATGTATATATTGATGACATTATAGTATTTGGAACAGATGCGGACGAACATTTAGACAACGTAGAAAAGGTTTTTCGAAAAGGAAGTTGAATTCCTTAGCTATGTAGTTACTCCAGATGGTGTACGAGCTGACCCAAAAAAGGTGGAATCTATAAAGATGATTTCACCTCCCCTAAATCTGAAAGACCTGAAGAGTTTCTTGGGTATGACTTCGAGCTATAGGAAATTCATTAAGGATTATGCAAAGATCATCAACCTCTGACGTTTTCCATGAGTAACCGCAATTACAACGCCAAGCTCAAGCGATGGAAAGCGCGGATAAAGGACTACAATTGTGAGGTGATTTATAAACCAGGCAAAACGAATGTGGTCGCCGATGCGCTCTCCCGTCTCAAGACGGAAGTGAATGCACTCACAGATTCAATCGTCGCTCAGCCGCCGTGTACTGTAGCTGACGCGGCATCCGAAACAGATACCGCATCAGAAGGCACAATGCATTCCGCCGAGCAAGATGGTTCAGACCTCATTCCACACGTAGAGGTACCCATAAATGCGTTTAGGAACCAAATAATCCTAAGACAGGGGGCGAGTTGCGAGTGTAGTGAAGAACCTCATATGGGCTACAAA